ACTCGCTCTAAGCGAAGCCCTGACCATCACTCAAGTATCGCCTTGGACTACATCACCACAGGCCTCACCCAATACCCCTGATCGACTAATTATACACGAGGAAAGCGATACTTGAATATTATCTGACAGCTTAGCACAATTCCGGGAGCCCCAGATTAGATATTTGGAGTCAATACGGTCAATTTATAGCTTGCTATTGAGACACGCGCACAAGCTTGTGGCGAACATGGGAGTCCCATGATGGGACACGATAGTTTGATGCTCGAACGGTATTATTGGACTAAAGTTAAGTGACGAAGTGGGATTGAAGTCCGCTTAATTCATAGCTCCTGTAGCTCAGTGGTTAGAGCGACGGTCTTATGAGCCGTAAGTCGAGGGTTCGAACCCCGCTGGGAGTATCAGAGAACATTTACCGAGAGCTTCCGAAATACATAAATTTGAGCACCGAGGGAACAGAAAAGAATATTGAAGCGATGAGACTTCAAAAGAGATGTAAAAGCCCTTCACCGTTGCACCATCGACAGCATGCTCGAAGACGCAGCAACTCTGGAATATTTCAGAAAGTCATGGTTGCACCAGGGTACGTACCCAGGCACGCGTGTATAACTGATGGCGTAAATGGCGACCTGAAAGCAGGTGGGCCTTGTTCTGTGCTACCCAACATTCCCAAGTCTCCGTTTCGATGGTTTTCACAGACGGTAAATACTCCGGCCTATGTTTAAGATGGAAGACGGCGTATAGACTATACTATACGGTATAGTGACGTGTTGGTTAATAAAGAGTACTATACCGAATTTTTAAGCAAATTTTTTTGTCAACTAATGGAATAGTGATTCACACTCAAGGGGAGAGCAACTTGAGCACACCACGGGCCGGAGATCCACCCTTTCCAGTACATTGGATGGAGTCATATATAGTCCGCAGTATGGCGCAGAGCAGTTCTTCAGCAATCAACTGCTAATTAATGAGCGGTAGTTAGAACTTATTCGAGTGAGCACATATGTCTATCGTTGTGCTCATATGAGCTTACCTTAAAGAAAAATAACACCCAAAGATGGCTCAAACATGACTATGGCATGTCAATTACAAGTCGTCATGCGCTGCATGTAATATTTGGCAACGGAGTAGCAGCACAGGCTCTGGTATAACTGCAAGCTCCACTCACAATTGAGGTGCTGATAATTCACCACGAATTGTTCCATTGTTGTACAGGAGGCTTACAGTCACTTATGTACTATGGGGAAAAAGGAGGCTACTCGCAGTACGTATGTGGCTCGAGAAGTCGCGCCCTGAAACTCTGACAGTAAAAACGTGGCGTCACAATGCTTCTACACGAAGACAATCATCGCACTGGCGCCACGGAAACCCAAGACCATTTCAGTTACCGTGCCAATTAGAGATCGCCGATGTCAGATCGGTACCTTCTTTGACATATCTGAGTCTGTTTGCTCCAATCTAGATAGCCATGAGACTAACCGGGTATCTTTACTTGTCCTACTCCTCCCTAGCTTTAGTCCAATATGCTGAACTGGATTTCCAAGGATTTGTGAAGAAGTGAGTTTTTATGATGATAAACGACTTTAGCGTGTGCGGTGTGGAGGTATAATAAAGTCTACAAATCCCCAGAGGAGTATCAAGCTGCCATGGATGCCTTCGCTCAAAGTGTGAAAGAAATTGAAGAGGTTAGGAGGAACGGTAGGTTTGTGTTCATGGACTAAGCCAGGCTTAGTTCAAGGCTTACTAAGCCTTAGTTAATAAGGTGACTCTTAGTGTTCGGCTCTTCAGGTGCTGTGGAGCATGAGGTTGGTATCAACGAACACTCTGACATCCCACAAGAGCAGTTCAATAAGGTTATGACTTGCATGAGTCAAGCTGCTAACAGAAGACTGGAAATCGGCAACAACGAAGGTTCGGGTAACCACTATGTCCACGAGGCACATCATACGCATATGTTTCCATTTTTTTGCAGGGCAGTCAGATGTCCCCAATGGGACAAATGTGGGCGACTTACCGACCGACGTCGATTGGGAAGCAGCAGGTGCCCTCGGACCGGTTAGAGACCAAGTAGCGATGCTACGGAGCTGTGGCTGCTGTTATGCTATTTCAAGCGTTGGTAAGTCGTATATCTCATGATCAACCATTATGGTCTATAAAGCGCTGAGATGTACGTGCACCGCATAGTATGCAGTATAAATAATGCAGTAGATTACCGCTTCTTTGACTTACGCCAGCAAGGTTACCGGAAGGATGTGATTGAGCCTTTCCTCAATCTCAGCTGTGATGGAAAGCCGATTCAAAATTCAAAGTGGAATATCTAAAGTTGTGCCCTTCTCGGTTCAACAGATAGTCGACTGCAGCACAATGAACAAGTAAGCTTTAACGACTGCCAGACGTTGGGAACTTTTCCTTACTTAGCGGCTGTGGTGGTGGACGTAGTGAATACGTGTATGACTATGCTCGCAAGCAGGGTATGGTAAAGGCCTCTAGCTACCCTTATGTAGCTAAGGACGGGACATGCAAGACGACTTTAGTTACCAATCCACAGAAGCAGTGCATCAAGGTCATATCTTCAAAGACGTTAGTTGACGGCAAGATTGTGGACATTATTCCCGACTCTTAGGCAGGAGATATCGCACATGTCTATTTGACGCGTCCGGCAAATGAATTATTCATGATGTATGCTGTTGCACAAGGGCCTGTAGGTGTGACCTTGCATGCTGGGGCGCCAGCATTAAGAAAATACAAATCGGGGATCATAACAGGTTAGCGGATACACACACAGTTCCCGTTGGTTATTAGCTATTTCTCAGCCAAGGCCTGTGGTGACGGAAATATCAACCACCAAGTCACAATTGTTGGATATGGTACTTCAACAACTGGAATACCGTAATACACTGTCGTTCCTCCTTTATCTTGTACGAGTATGTCTCAGATATTGGAAGATTATGAACTCTTGGGGCAAATCTTGGGGTATGAAAGGTTTTGCATATATCGAGAGGACTGGAGCTGCAATTCCCCGAGGTAGCTACCGTACTATTCAAGCATCGTACCGTGAGAGTCATTACTCAAGCCGGATTCAGATATTTTAGGTGCATGTGGTATTCTAACTAACCAGTCTCAATATCCTAACTTTGGAAGCAGCATAAAGTCGTCGCCGTGTATCAAGCCATAGGATAGGATTTGTTGAAGCTCGACGAGAGGACGATCAAATAGTCACGACCTCGTCACGAAGTGTAATTCTCATTTCTGCGCTAGGATCTTTAATTTCAACCCAGTTTGAATAGTCCCGATTCAATCGGGGATCGGGCCGATTGAATGAAGAAATCATCCATTTCATAGCAGTTTTTGCAACAACTTGATCGAGCCACGCTACCCTCATTGTCTTTGAAACTGATATGCTGTTGAGTTGGAGTAATATCCTACTCGAATGGGGAGGGGCAATACTCATGATTCGGAGTGACTTTAATTGGGTGACCCAATTTGGGTCTCACCAATGAATTTTCTATGCAGTATGCATGTTGGCTCAACTTAAACCTTCTGGACTAGACTAGTAATTATACCTTCCAGAAATCTATTTCGCGTTTAAGGCCACCAACTTCGCGAATAAGGAAATCATTTTCGCGGATAAGGACATCAATTTCGCGAATAGGGATCACAATTTCGCGGATATGGAAATCAATTTCGGGCTGAACTTTTAACTGCACATAAAAACCCATGGTACGGGAGTGTGGGAAGGGGAGAGCACCGAGTCTCAATTAAGTTATAATTCGATGATTGTTTGAGAGATTGGTGCTATCCATGTCTACGATGGTATTATGAGTAATAATTTATGACAATACTCTTGTCGATTTATGTAAATCAGTTTATTAGCCATCGAGAGACATCTCCCTACCTAGGATTAAAAAAAATAATTAACAAACAACTGGCTCATAATCGCCTTGTTTGGCCTCAATATAACAGTATTTAGCCCAAAGCGGTTCATGAACGTCGATTGCGTATTGTGTTTGGGTGTACTGTACGTGCATCACAATGATCTGCACGCATGCACTCACCTCCCCGCGGGTTTTTACTATCGCTACGTTGCACTGCGCTATCAAAAATATCTTCAAAAACCTTCCATTAAAAGTTCGCCAACAAGTTGTTGGCAACAACTGCGCCACATACTACGCTGCTGCCTTGGCGCGAAGGGCAGTTCAGTTCTGATGTTGATATGTGGGATATCATATCATATGATGGGACTCCCGTTCGAGCTTGTGTCACAATATGAAACTGAGAAGGCAGGAGCAGCGTGTGTTCATCCGCTGGACGAAAGTCATAGTGGCGAACGAAGAACGATGTGTTCAATGTATGGTGCGCTGTTCAGAACAGGCTGTTTTACTCATACGGCCTACCGTCGCTGCTGAACTCGAAGTTCTCCTTCACTTCATGTGGAGCTCCACCAGACCATGGATACTCGCAGCGGAATATCAGAGCCTGAGCAGCGGTTATTATTCATAGCCTAGGTCGCCTAGCAGGCCATGGTGCTGCAGATCAGAGTGACTACTTACTTGGTATTTCTTCTTCATCTCCGTACGGTACTCTGAGTTAACTTCATACAGCGCAGCCATAGCTGCCACTGGAGTGGTACCTGGATCAGTCATCATTGGCTGCTCGGAGCAGCCAAGTTCTGGTCAGTGACACATTCCTCATGTGGGCCGCTGTCAACTTACACCTCTTCTGATCCGCTGTTTTCTTTTGCACGGGGAAGGCTGCATCAACGTCGATCCATACTGAGGCAGACGGTCGACAACAAAAATAAATAATTTTAATTTTAAATTATGGAAGCTCTTCCCACCTGCGACTTATACCGCACTCCTGCAAAATGAATGCCGCCCGAGTGGTAGTCCTAAGGCCTTTGGTGGACTAAGTCCTTTACACGCGGGCCGTGGTGGGCTGTGTTAGGTGAAGACGTGAAGGCAGACATGGTTATACAAAACAACTGAGGCAGCCAGGATGAGAGAAGGTAATAGCCGAGATTGAACTGACGACCTTCTACTTACACAGCAGACGCTCTACCACTAAGCTGAACTCGCGAACGACAGAACGAGATGAAAACTACCCATGCCTGTATTGGACTGAGTAACCTTCGTGGCTTCTCCAGCTCCTATTGTAGTGACCGGTAATAACGCACTAGCCACTTGCCAGGATTGAACTGACAACTTTCTGCTTACGAAGCAGTCGCTCTACCACTAAGCTAAAGTGGCTGATAATAAAACGAGATGAAAACCACCCATGCCTGTATTGGACTGAGTAACCTTCGAGGCTTTTCCAGTT